AGTATGGAACTAAGGTTAAGTTATGGGAAGTCTTTAAGGATGACCCATGGTAGTTTATTGATATGTCAATTCTAGGCATAGGGTTGCTTGAGAATTGGACCTTAATGCATGGTGATGTAGTAGAGCCGAGCTCTAGAATGCATGTAAGGTGTAGACTTGTAGTCTATGTATTGTATAGCTAGAGCCGAGCTCTAGGACTTGCGTGGTGATGTGGTAGAGCCGAGCTCTAGAACGCAAGGTAAGGAAATTGACCCGAGGTATATGAATTGTATGGTGATGTGGTAGAGCCGAGCTCTAGAATACAATGTCATGTACTAGGGTTGGACTCTAGGAGTTGTCGTGGCTTATAGCCACGGGGTTGGGAATGGTGATTTCCAAATGAAAACGGGCCCACGGGCCGACTACTTGACTTTTATATAAAGTAAGTATATTTTTAAACGGGGTAACTTAGGGTTACAATCATAATGTACTATCACCCTACTTGAGGGTCTTGTGTTTGAAATACTTGTTGTATATCTATTAGATGCCTGCCACACCAGTACTTTATAGCCGTATAGAGTACTGACCCCTTCGGGGGCGTCCCACCATCATTTCAGGTTGAGGCTAGAGCTTGCTTCCTGTGCTCGTTGATCGAGTGATTCCTTGGAGAGAAGACTTGGTTCGTGCTTCCTCCATTCTGTTTCTAAATAATACTAAACTTGCTCATGGATATCTTACTTTAGAGCCTGCGTGCTCATGTTTGCCCTGTGTGGCCCTTTTGTTTTAAACAATGTTTTCCGCTGCGTATTCAATTGTTTATTATGTATGTTTATGGATGACTTATGTGTGAATGATATTCATGACGCCTTGTATAATATGAATGTGTTGGACTGCGGTTGACTATTCGTATTGTACGGCGGGTTGTTGACGTGTCCGGGGAGGTCCGGGGCGTGACAGGGAAGGGGTAGGATGGCGGTGGGGGTAGGATGGCGGTAAGGGTGGGGGGTAGTGGGTAGGGTTTGGGGTTGGGGTAAGGTAGGGTAGGGTAAGGAGTTGGGATAGGATGGCGGGTAGGGTGGGCCCGGGATCTGGGTGGGGCCGAGGTAGGGTAGGCTGGGGGTGGGGGTAGGATGGTGGTACGGGGGTGGGGGTAGGATGGTGGTACGGGGGTGGGGGTAGGATGGTGGTACGGGGGTGGGGGGTAGGATGGCGGTGGGGTGGGGCCGAGGTAGGAGGCATGTGGTAAGGGGTAAGGTAGAGGTACGTGGTAATATACGAGGGGTGGGGGGTAGGGTAGCGTGGGTCGGGGTGGGGTCGAGGTGGTAGGGGGGTGGCGGTAGGGTAGGGTGGATCGGGGTGGGGCCGAGGTCGGGGCATGTGGTGGGGGTGGGGTAAGGTCATTATAGGTAAATTGGGTACGCGGGGGGTGGGGGTTGGGTGGGTAGGGTAGGGGTAAGGTACGAGGATGGAGGTACCGGAATGGAATCGACATCGGAGCGGGACCGGACCCACCACTAGGTGTAAGTATGCAAATTCATTGCAAAGGCACTTTAGCATCTGCGTTTTCCAAATTTGGAAAACTAGTAAAAGTCACTTCTCCAAATCATTAAAGAAAATAGAGACATGTTTCATTTTTTCCGTTTTGGAAAACGATTTGGTAAACGTGTTTTTCTTTTTTCCTTTCTCCAGTTTTCCAGGAATTTCTTTGGTAAACACGTTTCCTGTTTTCTGTTTTCCAGTTTTCTGGAAAACTGGAAAATATTTCTGTTAGTAAACAGGCCCTAAAAGTCTCTGTGTATTTCAAAAAGAGAAAATTACATATATAAGACTAAACGAAAGTCAAAGTTCATAAATAGGATTACTATTATGTTATTTTCAAAATAGGACGCATCCATTTCTATATTCCTATTTTGAGAAATCTTAATCTAACTCATTCTTTTAATAGGACTACATGAGTCAAATTTGAGAAATAAAACATAACTAGTCCTATTTTTTGAATGTTGTTTGGGTGAAAATGATTTACTATGACTTTACACGAAAAATATTACAGGAATCACATTATCAAATCCCAACTCTATACATGAGATTTGTGAAACAAACTTTCCGTCTATACATTCATGATGATGATGATGGTGATTATTTGATAACTATTGAGATATATTATCACGGTCTGTTACTGTTCAGGAGACCAAGACTTTATATAGTACGGAGCCCGATTAGTGAGGCCCATTTCAGCCTATCAGGCCTGTTTCGGCCTTTGGGGCCATTTCGGCCCAATGTTGAGTTTAATCTAACACGATATAGTAAATATAGATATAATATGGTATGAATGCTCTGTTTTTACGTGGAAACCCGAAAGGGAGAAAACCACGGGACTTTTTAGGCTAATGTCCAAGCCATCTCTTTCTCATTAGACTCTCCTCACCATTACATTGTACAAGCTCCCATACATGGAGGAAAAAGGGATCTTTTACATGGAGGGAAAACCTATATTTATAGGGAAAGGGGATGGGGAAGTACTCCACCCTAATGAGCCAAACGGGCCAAGGTGGGCCTGTCAAGCTAGAGTGGGACAAATGGGCCGAAATGGGCCTAGCTGCCCGGGCTCCGTACTGGGTAATGTCTTGGGCTATGTTTGGCACAACGACCTGAAGCTGAAGGTTAATGTTTGATTTAGGAGCTATTGTCTGAATTAGATATTATTGTCTAAAGCTGAACTTTGAGGTGCTGAATCTGAATTGCTACCCGAATAAAGTAGACTCGTTTGGTATAAGGAACTGAAATAACTGCTGGATAACATGAAATTACATAAAAGGGTATACATTTAATTAGTACGAAGTAGAAAAAATATTTATTTTAATGGTTGTTATATTTTACTCCGTAATTATTATCAAAATTTTATACATCATACGGAGTATATACAACAACAACAACATCCAAGCCTTAGTCCCAAATGATATTGGGGTCGGCTAACATGAATCGATATATGATATCACATTATCACCAAAAGGAAAAGAAAGAAAATAAAGATAAAAAAGATAAGCTACTATAAAAAAAAGATAATATAAAAGAGATGAATATACATATAAAAGATCAAATAAAAAGGATAAAGTAATATTTATATATAAGGATAAAGATATAAAAGAAAAGGAAAAAAAAGAAGAAGAAGAAGAAAGAAAAAAAGATGATACAAGATCACTCTTCAACACGAATACCTGCCCTCCATTTTGCTCTCTCCAAAGCCATACCCTCATCCAATCCAAGAAGAAGCATATCACTTCTGACTCCCCTAACCCACGTCTGTTTGGGCCTTCCTCTCCCTCTCTTCCCTACCTCTTCTCCACACATCTCAACTCGTCTGACAGGTGCATCACTCGGTCTTCTATGCACATGACCAAACCACCGTAGGCGTGACTCCCGCATCTTATCTTCAATAGGTGCTACTCCCACCCTTTGTCTAATTGTCTCATTCCTCACGCGGTCCTTTCTAGTTTGCCCACACATCCAACGCAGCATGCGCATCTCTGCCACACCCATCTTTTGAATGTGACATTGTTTCACCGCCCAACACTCCGTGCCATACAGTAATGCCGGCCTAATTGCTGTCCTATAAAATTTACCCTTCAGTCTAGTCGGCATACCTCGATCGCATAGAAATCCTGACGCACTCTTCCACTTCATCCACCCTGTTCTGATTCTATGGGATACATCTCCATCTAACTCACCGTCTTTCTGAATTATGGAGCCCAAATAACGGAACGTATCGCTGACTGGTATCTCCTTACCATCTAAAGTAATTCCGCTATTATCACTGCTTCTACCTCCACCAAACTTGCACTCCATGTACTCTGTCTTGCTCCTACTTAGTCTGAAACCCTTGTTCTCCAATGTTTGTCGCCATACTTCCAACTTTGCTTTAACCCCTGATTGCGTCTCATCAATCAATACAATATCGTCGGCAAACATCATGCACCACGGTATATCGTCTTGAATTGACTTTGTAAGTTCATCCATGACTATGACAAATAAAAAAGGGCTAAGAGCCGATCCTTGGTGCACTCCGATAGTAATAGGGAACTCCGCAGTCCTCCCTACACTAGTACGGACACTTGTAGTACAATATACGGAGTATATATAAAAGAAATTAAACCTCATTTGCTGCATCTGTCAAATAGTCAAATTAACAACACAATGTTTAAAGGGAAAATGGAAACTAATAATCCAACTTTTTAGCGATCTTCTTTCAATAATCCCACTTTTTGATTATTCATGAATAATCCAACTTTTGCACCTCATCTTCATTCACTAGTCTCTGACCGGTTGATGACCTGCTATTCCAAGTTATTTTCTAATTTTTGCAAATCATTATACCATAAATCTCATCTTTCACAAAGATAATATTTTGCAAAGATAAGAAAATAACTTGGAATAGTAGGACATTAACCGATCAGGGACCAACGAATGAAGATGGGGTGCAAAGGTTGGATTATTCATGAATAATCAAAAGGTGATATTATTGAAAGAAGACCGCTAAAAGGTTGGATTATTAGTTTCCATTTTCCCATGTTTAAAAGATGTCAAGTGGTGCCGTGGTGGTAGAACAAAGGGAACGAGTTCCAAGATCTGATGCCCACAAGGGCTATAAGAGAGATGTGCAACTCGGTGGCAGAACAAACGAGTTGCAAGGTCATTATCAGCTTTGTGCGAGAGAGAGACGACCAACCCAGAGAAAAGAAAAACAGTTCCAAGGGATAATTTTGGAATGGAGGTGAATTGTACACTTGACTGAATTGAAACGTTGGGATGACAAGCGTTCCTAATCAGCCCTCTTATTTGAGATCTAGCCTACTTGCACTGTTTTACCAAACAGATTAACAGGAATACTCTCAAAAAAATCGACTGAATCGAAAAGCTAGAGATATTAACGTTCTTATTCAGCCAATTATTTTCAACTTAAGTTCTTACAATGCCTCAATTAAAATTAGCTTGATTTAAAAAATTCAGTTTACTTTAAGCTAAAGTAACATGACAAAGATAGCATAAATAAAACTTTGAATGGTTTCGTGCAGAATAGCGGAACTGAATACAACCCATTGACTAAACATCATAAAGAGGTCCAAAACAATTCACTTTATTTCACTACTATACAAAAACTAAATAGTTCACCAATCAACTAAAATGGTACAACAATCGCATAGAGTAGAGACCACTTAATGTCCGTTTGATACTTCAGTAACATTGTCCTACTAGTCTTATTGTAAAAAGCAGGACTGGAGCCTGGAGGTAATTTTTGACTGAATTGGCTGGCGAGGACCATTTTAGTTGTTTCATTTTATTTTTTCTTATTCATTAATAAAATGCATTATACCAGAGTAACTTTGTTTCTTCATAAGTTCGCAAATCCAGTCCATTCAGCCATAATTTCAGCATGTTATAACTTCGTCATTCTCGGCAAATTTGACCTATTTCAATGTTATCGAATGGGATATCAAATATCAGCATCCGCACCTAGTGCATAAAAATTATCTACTGGTGCCATAAAAGCAAGCTATGTTAAATATAAGGTGAAATGAAAAAGGAAACTAGTAACAGAGCGTGATGGAGATATCAGATTATGTAATCAGACCATTCAGAAATAAAAGAGGTATGGTCCATTGACTCTCCAGGAACTTCCTCATGCTTAGTTGGTTGTGCCTTCCCTCCTACTAGCCTTGCTGGATTCCCCGCTGCGGTTGTCTGTGGAGGCACGTCCATCAATACTACTGAACCAGCCCCGATTTTGGCTCCCGCTCCAATGCATACATTTCCAAGTATAGTTGCCCCTGCACCGATCAGCACCCCGTCACCAATCTTAGGGTGGCGGTCACCACCAATCTTACCGGTGCCTCCTAAGGTTACATGGTGGAGTATTGAGACATTGTTCCCAATAACTGCTGTCTCACCAACCACGACTCCTGTGGCATGGTCAAAAAGGATGCCTTTTCCAATCTTTGCGGCTGGGTGAATGTCAACAGCAAAAACATCTGAGATTCTCGATTGAAGTGCAAGAGCGAGGGGCCTACGAGATTGGTTCCAAAGCTTGTGAGAGACTCGATGTGCCTGAGACATACAACAACCTCATCAACCACCTTTTGTTAATGCAGTAATAAGGTAAATACTTAGATTTTTAGCCTATCATGTTGTGTAAAATATTGTTTCTATTTCCTTCTACTTTGTCATCAAATTTCAATCACAAATACCCCCCCCCCCCCCCCCCAAAGAAAAAGGGAATCATATTTCACCAAGGTACAACTCATTGAAATCATCAAACATAATACTTCGAAAACAGTAAAAAAGCGTCTTTTAAACAAAGAAAATCAGAATGTCTTTTTCCAATACAACAACATCCAAGCCTTAGTCCCAAACGATATTGGGGTCGGCTAACATGAATCGATACATGATATCACCAAAAGGAAAAGAAAGTAAATAAAGATAAAAAAGATAAGCTATTATTAAAAAAAGATAATATAAAAGAGATGAATATACATATAAAAGATAAAATAAAAAGGATAAAGTAATATTTATATATAAGGATAAAAACATATTTAAAAAAAAAAGAAAAAAAAAAGAGGGAAAAGATGATACAAGATCACTCCTCCACACGAATACCCGCCCTCCATTTTGCTCTCTCCAAAACCATACCTTCATCCAATTCAAGAAGAAGCATATCACTTCTGACTCCCCTAACCCACGTCTGTTTGGGCCTTCCTCTCCCTCTCTTCCCTGCCTCTTCTCCACACATCTCAACTCGTCTGACAAGTGCATCAATCGGTCTTCTATGCACAAGAAGAATGTCTTTTTCCAATAATTTTCAATATTCTGTTTCTGTTTTCAGTTAACACATTTTCTTGTTTATCTTTTCAGAAAAGTGAATCTGAAAACAGTAAAAAGGAAAACAAAGATGCCACGAATAAAATTTTAGGTTTTCACATTAATTACACATTTTCAGCACATTAGGCCCATAGACCATAAGTAACTGGAGTGGATTATGGTGTATTCAGTAACTAAGATTAAACTCTGTATCATTAGTTTTAAAAGCTTTGAACAGGGTTCTGTTATATTTTCTTATAGGAAAGCTCAAATGGTTAACAACCCACAAATAGTGGTGTAGCATGCCCTCTAGCTACGCCACTGCCCACAAAACTCAATAAGATAAAAGTGGAGAACACTCAGGCCCTCGGAGAGCATGTTTAAACTCATATGATCCAAGTTTTCCACTGTTAAGAGTTTTACTTGTACAAAGTTCAAAATTAAATCAAACATGAAACACGTGGTTCCTTAAGAATAAAGATGCATGTTTTGCCAAATAATAAAAGCTTTTCATTTCATAAGTTGCCACTGTGACATCAGGCCCATCACAGTGCTTTGGATTTAGTCATGAATCTTGTATACTATATGTATTCAATGTTCAAGTATATTTTTGATGGCTTAAACAGGTAACACAATCTCTTTTTGGAAATAAGACATTTCGCCCTAAGCTTTGCAAGTTAGGATGTTTTCTTTTGGACTATTTTCTTCCGTAGTTATAAAATACAGAGAGACCAGACGTTTACCAGACCAGTTCAGACCATACCAGCAAATTTCAGTCCAAAAGAAAACATCCTTAGTATTGTAATGAACAACTAAACAAGTAAATCCCCTGAGAGCTTAAAGATTTCCAATCTATGTGTGTGTTCCTTAAATATATCTAACCAAGCTTCACCTTTCAGAGAACCCTCATAACCACTTTCAAAATTAAACCCATACAGTCTACAATTTTCTACTTAAAGCCTAAACCTGTCTGATTTCAGTGTCAGAAGTATCAAGATACTTCATTAATTTGAATTTGTTGTAAAGGCTAAAATAGTACTCCCTAATTAATATTGCTAGAACTGAACATATGATTATAATCTATTGAACAGCACAGATCTCCCATCATTGACACCACAAAACATAAAAAACAACAACAGCATCACACAAAAGTCAAAGCCCATTCAGAAAATGGAATTTGCAAACCAGAAGTTGTGACAGACCTGGGAAGCTAGAAAGCCTTTGTAATTAAGGAGGCAGTGAGAGAAGGAAACGCAGGCAGGGTCCCGGTAGCGAGCGGCGAGGAGATCAGCGACGGTGGCGGCCCGGAGTTCCGAGTCGTTTGAGAAAGCGTTGATGAAGATATCGTAGAGAAGCGTGGAGAGGAGCGTGGAGGAGCAGAGCTTGTTCCCCAAGTGGAAGGAAACCGAACGGTCCAGCGACGAGTGTGAAAGTATGGTGGAGTACAAGTAACTAGCCAAAGCAGGCTCCGCCTCGGCGTCGCGCCGAGCTTCGGCCTTAATCTGCGTCCACACCCAGCTCGCTTCATCAGCCAAGTCCGTCGGCGGGTGCGGCGTAAGAGGTGAAGCGTACTGCAATTTCCCGGCGTGCATCCTTAGTTCGGAATCGCGGGGGATGGATGGATGCTATATAGCGTGATGAAGCGAATTGAAACATTCAGGGGACTATTTATTCAGAGATAGAGAAATTGGTGAGCAGCACTGTAGAATTTGGCTGTCTATGGTATCTGAGTGGCAATAATGCATCGTGGGAAATAGGATAGAGATGAGTCGAGGGTTACAGTAATACAGACAAACAAGTGATAGAGACGTGGTCAAAGTTCATCATGGATGCTTATACCATCCCCTCCTTCGGCCTATGAAGCACATAAATTTTCTATGTTCACGTTTCAACGTTTCGAAAATTTAAGTGTTTCGGAAGTTCGGAAACTTCAAATTTCTGTTTTGGGATTGTTTTGGGGCCGTTTTCGTAATTAATAAAAATTTGGAAACTTATTTTACTACGTTTCAGAAATTTCGGATTCCATTTTTTTCTTTTTTAAAGATTCTGTGATGAAAAATAATTTTTCCTAATAATGAATTTTTGTGGTATTTCTCACCAGCAACACTTGTTACATTTCATAATGCAATGTATTGCTAGAAATGTATTACTCTGTACAATTTATGCTTAATTATGTACTAATATGAAATACATAGTAATATCTAAATTCGAACATGTAGAATGATTTTATTATTTGGTTACTAAACAAATTATATGAAAAAAACATGTGCATATGGAAAAACTTGTGTACATATATTAAAAAATAATTATAATTATATTCTTATATTTTATAATAGTTACGCGTTTACCCCACGTTTCGTTAACTATATTTTTTAGAAATTACATTTCTCGCGTTTCTCGTTTTACGTTTCCCATTTCGGTGTTTCCGTGCTACTTAGCCTTTGGCTAATCAAGAAAATATACTCTAATGTTTTCTTATAAGAATAGTAGGTGCGGACATATTGGTTTGGTTTAACCAAACCGAGCCGTACCAAACCGAACTGTATGCAATTTGGTTTGAGTTTGGTAGAATTTCTTCCAAATCATATAAAATCGAACCGAAACCGATTAAAACTTAACCGAACCAAAGAAATTCAATAAAATTTTCATACTCCCTCTGTCCCCCGATTAAGTTCCTGGTTTGACTTCACACATATTAAGAAAATAAATTTGACTTTACTGTGCAGTGCACTGTTTAGCACTGTTTAAACACCGTTTGACACTGTTTGGCACTGCTTGACACTGTTTTGATACATATAATTTTCCAAATAAGGAAAGTATTGAAGTGTGAACTTAACTTAGAGACTGCCCAAAATGGAAAGTGAGAACTTAATTGGGGGACGGAGGGAGTATATTATTAAAAAATAACAAATCCAAACTGAACCAAACTGAAAATAGTTTGATTTTTGTTTGCTAATAATTCTCTCAACAAATATTATCTCCCAACTTTTATTGAACAAACATATGTGGGTATTTTATAAAAAAGTGATCGGCTAAAACCTTTCGTTTCTTCAATCATCATTGTTGTGCACGAACCCCAGGGACGGAGCAAGGCTTCGACGACGCAAAGCGCCCATCTCCTCCGCTCACGGAGCAGCCAGATTGTCGTTTCCTCCACTACATTGGTCGTCTCCATTGCCTGTTGCCTGTCGCCATCGACCGCGACTAACATCATTGTCGACCATCTTGTTCACGTCCACCGCTGTCGTTTGTCACATATAGCCATTGATCTTCTCCTTTCGTTGCCATCTCCATACCCACGCCAATCTTCTTCTCTTTCTTTAATTTCCTTCCGATTGTGAGGGGTCAAAGGGGCGAAGGGGTGATTTTCAAATCTAGATCTGGAATGGCGGCTAGGGTTAGCGGGGTCGCGTTAGGGCAGATGGGGACGCGGTGGGGTCTGGTATTGGCTGGTTGGGCAATGGTGAGAGAAGGGTTGGTCACTGGCCGCCGCTGGCGGCCGGAGTCGGGGAGGTACGTGGTTGTCAAAGCTCTAGACAGATGAGAATAATACTCATGTTAATGTGGATTAGAGAGGTGGGAAATGATATTGAACTTTTGATGTGGATTAGAGAGGTGGGAAATGATATTGAACTTTTGGGACTCGCTGAGAGTGTGACTTTGTAGAAAGTGGTGTGTGATGGGAGAACACACGTGTGGAGGATTCACCCGATTTCTTCTTCTTTTATCTTCTTTTTTTATATATTTTAATTTTTTTTAATCTTTTTATCACTCTTCTCCTCTTTATATTATTTTCCTTATCTTTTATCTTTCTTTTACCCCATCTTATCATATATCATTTCACGTTGATTGACTCAAGATTCTTTTAAAATTAAGTATGTTTGTAATTGGAATTAAAATTTATGGTTTGATCTAATCCCAAATGCCCAAAACATAGTCAAATAAAACAAAAACAATCTGAGTCTACTGCCCATTCAAAAGTTCTTCTTCATCCCGTATTGGTGTATATGAGGCAAACACACTTTTATCCTCACAAATATGTCTAGTGGCTTCCGAATCTACTACCCATTGATACACATCCGCCACCTAGCAAGTTTGTGAAACAACCTTAGTTATAATGTCGACACTTTCAACCAAGTTTGAACTTAGTTTATGTGGTTTTTTATTTTCCTCAAATTCCCTTTTCCTACACTCAATGTCATGGTGTCCCGGTGTCTCGCAAACAAAACAATCACCTTTCATTTTAAAACTGGTGGTATGTTTGGGTTTATTGCAATTTGACTTATTATTAAAATAATAATTATCATCGTATTTCATTTTGTTCTCGGTCAACGAAATTGGCATTTGAAGTGTACTCGTTTGCTTGACTCTTGGCATATCCTTCCTTTTTTTCGTCAATGGTGATGTGGTGATCATATCATTGAACGACATTGGCCCAAATTTGTGTTTGATGTCTCTTTTGTAGTCCCTCTAGGATTCCGACACTTTCACAATTAGGATCCTGGTAATGAAAGGCTCTGGTGGCTCTATTTGGACGCCCTTGAGATAATCAGGCCAGTAGCGTCTGACATTCATGGATTTTGTCATTATGTCTCTATCATTCTTCATCTCACATTTGTAACAATTTTCTATCACAATTTTTTGTTTGACAGTGTCCTCGATCGTGTATTTGGTTATCATGGAACCCCATATTTCCTTCGCCACGTTTTCCGTGTAATAGTCATCAGACAACTCATTAGATAAAGTGCTAAGAATAGTATGACGACAAACCGTATTCGTGTAGGTCCATTAGTGGATGAGTTTGATGCCTTCCGGTGAGTTGTCATTAGGCATGACTTGGGTAAGAGCATCGGCAATGCCATGCATATCAAGCAATGAGAATAGACGTTCTCGTCATCTCTTGAAATTTGCCCCCGATAACACTCTTATCTTGGAAATAACGGGAAAGGGCTTCGCATGAACGGGTTGCACATCAAGTTTCATTTTGTGGAGCTGCGTGAATATGTCGTGGGCAGTGGATTGGGAGACCGCAGAAGTTTTCCCTACGGAGGTGTCAATGATGGGAATGAGTTCATGGCACGCTATTCTGACGACATACTACTTTCTTGAGATTGTTGAAAATTCACCGGTCACCTTAGTCCGCAGTGATGAGCATGATAATCTTCAGTGTTCGTCAAAACAGGAATCGAGAAGGCAACAACATGATTCAACTTCAATGCAAGAATCTATGTGTTACTCAGGGATTGAATGAGGGTTTTGAAGAGGCGGTGACATGGGTCAAGTGTGGAGCTTCGCGTGTTGTCTTGAAGGATGGTCAAGCATCTAACTTGTTTGGCTCAAATTGTTCCATGGAGCAAGGCATTTGGCATCAATTAAGGTGTTTGAGGCAGAGGTGTGGTTGGGTTTGATGTTATTCTTTTCAGTTATTTTTCACTCGGAGTGGTAGGTGACTCAACGATTTGGGGGGATCGACCAAGGTGAGAGGCGTTAGGTAGAGTTTTAAGCGCCATAGATGGTTGGCTTGTTTGTATGAGTTGTTTCACTTTGCAGGTTCACTATGCTGATTCACTTTACTGAAGTCATGGAGATTGATTTATTAGTGCACCGAGCTATAAGAAACCAAGAAAACGGAGAGTTGATGAGACATACAAGATGGTGTGCAAGTAGGGAACTCAGAGTTGAGGAAACGGTGTATACTGATGTTAGTAATATGATGACAGTGGGATACATACATCTCTTCAAAAAATGGGGTAGAGGCGGGTTATGGGGTAAATGCGCACGCATTTACCCCATTTTTTGAGTATACACTTTCGATGCTCATTAAAAATACATTAATGTTCATTCAATAGAACTCATGATTTTCACTTCAACAACGGATGTTTGATGCTCAATAAAAATTTCGTGATGTTCAATCAACAAACCTTACAATTTTCATATCAATGTGCACTTTGTAATTTATGTATGCTCATTTGGTACTGATGTTCTGCTCATTTTAAATGTCATACCAACATATATTTCAAAAGTATCATATTATATTAGATTCACATATCAAAATTCATAGAGTAAATTGTAGATATAATTTAATAATTTTTTATAAAAGAAAAAACAAGAAGCAGAAAGTAAATTAGAAAATATGAAGCATCGATGCTTATTGTTAGGCTTCTAATACTGAATAAAATAGGTCAGTTGCTCATTCAGTGTACACTAATACTCATTTAACGATAGCCGCGATTTTTCGCTTAAATTGTTAAAATGACACCGCCGGGTGTATGGTGATCACCATACACCCGGTGGTACGTTATAGGCTGTGATGTGTGTACTACTGTATCCGTATACAATCTGCCAAATTAAATGATTTAGGGTTGATTTGCAATAGCTTAAAAAAGCACTTCTCGCATTTTGACTTAAAAAGCGCTTATTCACCAAACACCGCCAATTTTTACTTTTCTCGGCTTTCGTATGAAAACTTGAAAAGTGTTTTTCCCTTTCTATTACACCAAAATCACTTATTTTAACAAACACTACCAACTTTTACTTTTCAAAATCACTTTTTCTCAAACACTATCAACTTTTACTATTAATCATTTTTTCCAAATGGGTCCAAAACATTCTTAAGTTATTAGACCAAAGTGTTCGATCCGGTCCAATTCATCCGATCTACCATCTCATCTCTCATCCTCTCAGCCTCTCCTTTGCCATCTCCTCTTCCACTTAGGTCGGACGCAGTCTACACCACTCCTGCCGTTCGTCTAATGTCCTGAGGTTAGTCGATAATCACTATCTATGTTCTTATTTTATCTCTGTTTAGTTTGTT